GTGTATAAAGTGTATACTTTATTATGCTCTTTTTGTGTAACATATTTATTGGACTATTAGGTTATATTTATTTATACATTAATTGTGTAAATTTAATCATTTTTTTAGTGTATATTATATTAGTATATTTTGCACATAACTAATATTATTTGACGTACTTTATCGCAGAGCTCTATCATGTTTATGTGAGTTACTTTATTTTTAATATTTTAAATTTAAGTTTGAAATGTTTTATAATGTTGCATTATTTCAACATAAAGTTTTTAAAAGTTTTATTGTATTATGTTATTTAAACATAAAGTTTTAAAAGTTTTCATAATATTATTAATGAGAGTGATAAAAACGTTCAATGTTATAAAATATTACAAAAATTATAATTGTAAAAATGTTTGTTTTTTATATATTTTGTGGTATTCAATGAATTTAACTTTATGCGTTTGTAAATAATTTATTTAAATACGTTTAATTTCTAAATTCTTTTTTTTATTATCAATATAAATTTTTATTATCAATAATCCGTCCCTATTTTTTTTAAATAGTCCCTACTTTTTATTTTATTTTTTTTTTTTTAAAGTTTTCGCTTTAAATAAGCATAGTAGATTTTTGACACTAACCCGCATCCTAATTTTTATTATCTAAAACTTTTTATTATCTAAAATATTCGACCTGAAATATCCGTTATTAAAAAAAATCAAATCTTTTTCTTCCAATGTTAGGATCTCACAATTTGGTGACCTGTCAGACCCATACTTGTTTAAATTTGGTTTTTGTCTTAAAACTACAGATTTTTTAAGTGACGAAATTATTCTCGGATTTATTTCTATATTTTTTTCTGTAAATAATTTAAACCATATGATAAGGAAACAGCCTTCATTAAAATTATATATACATTTTACTGCTTTCTAATGCTAATGTTTTTTAATTAAAATACGGTTAAAAATTTTTTAGTCATTTTAACTTCAATTATTAACATTTTTTTCGACAAAAAATGATAAAGAATTCTACTAAGGCGCTACCTTTGTATGCAAAGTTGTACAGAAATTTGAATACATCTTTAAAGGTATCATTTATAAGATTTATTTCATGAGATTTACAATGTTTTTTGTTAATAATTTTTGTTATTTGTTGCTTTTTTATTTCTGCTAAGGTTTTTAAAGAACCAGTACCGACATTAAATAGTGATTGGGTAGGACCTGCAGATCCTGATTCAAATATTCGTAAAATTATTTATTCGAAATCAACAAGCGATTTAGAAACTTTTCATCATAAACAAAGGACAAATGATTATATTTGGAACGATATGTTTTGGAGAGAACACAATAAAAAATTCTTCCACGTAAATTTTATTTACTGTTTATTTATTATATATATATATATATATATATATATATATATATATATATATATATATATATATATATATATATATATATATATATGTATGTATGTATGTATGTATGTATGTATGTATGTATGTATGTATACATATATATATATATATATATATATATATATATATATATATATATATATATATATATATATATATATATATATATATATATATATATATACATACATAAAACATACATACATACATATACATATTATATACATGTATTTAAAGGTATTTGAACTTAAAAGTTTCAGGCTGATTGAGCAACATTTACAGGTCAGCCTTTTTTCAACAATACTTGTTTGGCGTCCGTGCTTACGATTTTCGACTTTGACGTCGTGGAGTTGTGTTTGTTTTCAGAGCTGTTGCATAGGTATTTGGTCATGACATTTCAAGTATAACATTATCTAGAAGTTTAATTAAACTATCTAGAATAAACAAACAACAGGCTGCTGTAATATATAAAAGTTAGTTTTTTAAGCTACTATTGCCGTATTTCAGAAATATGGCCAAGATATTTATTGGTTGTTCGAACCGAGATGTTTATTGTACAGCAACTGATAAACTGTTTTAGGACCAATTAGTAAAGAACAGGAAAATGCTTGTCTATTTACCAGATACACTTGAAACTGCAGCTAAAGAACAATTATCGGAAATTTTTACGGTTATCTTTCTAGTTTCTTGGTAGACAAAAAGGCAGCGAGAAATGTGAAGCTATCAGCCCAACACGTAATTCATGAAACTTTAATTTTTAAAGCTAAGTTCAAGTTGGTTGAAGTATCATAGATTCGGCTGTTTGTCAAACAGTTGAACAAAGCACAACTTAGAATCTGAGACCCTCTCAATTACATTAAGTTTTTGTAAAACTTGAGAGCCTATCCGAACAAAACGATAGTCACAAAACACGAATTATTTTCAACCACCTCTACTTTCTCACTGAGCTATTAAATGATGTAGTTAAAAGAGGAATTAGTCTTCTCGAAAATAATAAACTAATGACATCACATACGTCGTAGATATCCACTTTGGAAAAATATAGCTAAAAGCTACTAAGTTTTGAAATTGAATTCTTTATTAGATTATAATTTTTACCTCCAATTTTAATTACGACTTTATTTTAATTTATAATTTTAATCATAAGTTTTGAGTCGATATTTTTTATTTTTTTCATTATTTTATTTGCGATAACCTAAAAAATTGTTAATTTCTCTAAATATTTTTTGTTTTTATTACAATTTTGCACAATTGTTATAATGAAGAACAAAAATAACTTTGTGGGCAATTGAAGTTTGTTACTTTGTTTTGTGTATCACCTTAATATACATACATACATACATAAATACATACATACATACAGTGGCGGATTTAGTATAGGGCGTGAGGGGGCGAGCTGCCCCCCCCCCACGCCCCCCTAGAACGGTCTAACGGCGCCCCTAAAACAAACAAACAAAAAAAAATTATAAAATCAAATTACTGAAAACAACCCCGGTCGCCACCTATTTATTGGCTTGGCCCCCCCCCCCTCCCGCGACACTAAACCTCAATCCGCCACTGCATACATACATACATACATACATACATACATACATACATACATACATACATACATACATACATACACACACATATACTGTTTATCATTATGATAATGATATGTATAAATAAATCATTTTTAGGAAAAATCGAAATTTCTCGAAACCTTTAAGTCAATACCTGAATCAGGTAATAAATATTTTCATTAGATTTAAATACGGATTATGCTCCTGAAAATTTTCGTGACGACAATGTTACTTTATTAAATATAGGCAATGATGCGTCTGACAGTTTATCAGTGTTTTACAAAAAATTCTTGGAGGAGAATAAGAACTTATATGATCAATACAACAGGTTTGTTGTTTTATATTAAAAGACTAATTTATAGACTTAAGTCAAATAAATTAACATAAGTTTTAAAAAGTTATTTAAACAACAAAATCTTTATTTGACTACAAAATTTATTTTTAGAGAATGGTATCGTCGAAATTTTTATTCCTTGATGCTCAGCTTTCGGGTTGCATTATCAAATTTGTTTTCAAACTCAAAACTCTAGCATGGTCCATAAATAAAAGTGCGATAGTTCTTATGTGGCTATATTATAATAAAACGTACTTTAGGCGTAATCTATATAATTATGGAGTGTCAGTTATGCTAGACAGTGAATCACTTAGTTTGAAACAAGAAAATCTATAGTATGAGAGTTACAACGAGCATGCAGTTACAATCTATAGTGTGCAATTTACAATTGCGTTTTTTTTATTATAACTACTTCTCATAGATGTGCCTGAAGATTTCTGTGATTTTGAACCAAAAAATCTTAATCTCCACATTATTAAAAAGTTTTAAATGATCTGTTTTTGTGCAGCAACTTTACCCTCTGTTTAACTTTAGTTTTTTCATGTTGAAGAAACAATACAATTACAACATAATGCAATTATGTTGTTAACTAAGATGTTCAAATTAATTGTGGAAAATCATTATTTTACTAAATTGTAGACAGAGAAACAGAAGTATAAGTTTTAGCTATAATTTTCAAAGTAATAAATAAAAATAGTGATTTGTTTGCGCTTTTTAACCAAGTTGGTTTTTGATAGGAAACTCTCTTTCCTCTGGCTAAAATTAGTTAATTAAATTATTTAGTTGGCTAATTGTCGACTAATTCTTAGTTTAAGTAAAATGAGTCGACTAACCTTTTAGTCTGCTAATACCTGTCTATTTTTTTTTTTTTTTTTTTTTTTTTTTTTTTCAGTTTAACTAAAATTAGTCGAGTATAACAAAATTTAGTGGTACTAAAAACTAAATAATTTTTAACAGAAATTTCACACACAAGACTGGTTTTATTAAGATAGTTGAATACTATTATTTTGCTTTAAACGCACTGTTCTAATTTTAATTTTTGGATCGATTTTTTTTTTAATTTTTCCAGCTCGGAAAGAGCTCACTCTGTGGTTGTAGCGCTGTTTAAACACACACCATGTATATTACTATTAATGCATAATTTAATTGTTTGTTTAATGCTGTGAGAAAACATTTGCTTTCATAGGTTGAATATACAAATAAAAATTAGCAGAAACAATCATACATAACACTTAAGGTAGCAGATCCCCTTAAAATAAGGTTGCTTAAACTATTGTTATTAAATACCAATTGCAATTAGGTTTTATTTGATATCAATTAAACTTTTTTTTTTTAATTAAAAATTTTGAAAAAAAAAAGTAATTAAGGACTAATTAGACAATTAAGCAGCCATTTTAAAAAATTTTCAAACGTGATTATACAAGTTTTACAAATGCTGTGGACTTCAAATTTTCAGGATATGTTAGTAGTACTATTAACTAGGGTTTCTACCACTTTTGTGTAAAAATGATAAATTCTTTAAAAGATAATCAATTTTTTCAAAAATTATTAAAATGAAGTACACAAAAAAAAAAAAAAAATTTACTTAAAATGAAAATTGAACTTTCATTGAGGTACAAACCCTAGACAACATAACAAGGAACATTTGCTAAAAATTTCAAATCAAAATCTATAGTAGAAGTTGAGAAAACGCGTTTTATGTGTCGAAAAGTTCTAAAAAAATAAAACACAAGAAAAATGCTCCTAAAGATTTTGTAATTAAAAAATAATAAATTTTTTATCATTCTAAAAACCACCAGCAGAATATGATGCTCTTTCTTCATTTTCTTTATCTATGAATCCTTTTTTCATAGCTCTTAGTAGCTTTCTTTGCTAATACCTGCTGTTGAAGTCTTTTTTATCATATAACCTATTCGAGTCTTGTTTTTTTAAATGGTCCCTATGTCCATAAATCGACCGGTCTTTATCTGTAGTTTTTGAAAAACTTCATATATCCCACTAGCTCCATCATTAAACTCTAAAACAGCAGATGCTACAGCTATTTCAAGAATATTTTGACTTACATAAACATCTTTAGGACATTTTTTTAAAATGAAATTGTTAATTGCTTCATTATTATTTTGTGTCTGTCCATGCAAACATTTAGATAATAATTCATCTCTACTCAAGTCTTGAAAGATGGGTTTTAAAATTTCATTTATTGCTAATGGAATATTTAATTTAGCTTTGTAAGTTGATTTACCTGTTAGTTTATTTGACTGCCACATGCACCAGCTATTTACATTTCAAGGACAAAATTTATGTCGTCCAGTTTCACCAAGAATATCTGAGTTATGGAAAAGTGTTGCCCAAAAACCCTTTTTCATTCCATAAATGCTGTTAAGAATTTGCCTTATGGCAGTACCATAATAATTCTGCAAAGTATTTATAGCTTTATCACATTTTTGATTATTTGTTGATATCAAAGTAACAACACCATTTATGGATGTGTGACCTCTTTTTTGCCATGTTCCATCAACAGAAACATGGCAATCAGCAATACTTGTTTTATCACTGATGACATCCATCAAAACAATATCATGTGTCTCTTTTTCAGCATTTGACATAGAAGTATTAGCTGCTTCGACATAAGCACTGTGAAGTAATTTTGTTATTTTACCATAGTTTTTTTTTGTCATCGGTCTTGGCATATTCATGCAACGATTAAATGATACTATCCAATTTCTCTAAAAGCAACAACAACTTGTGTATTAACTTCTTTTAATTATTCTTTTAACTTTAATTTCTTTAAAATTCATCTTTTAATTATTGCTAAAGTTTTAAATGTGTCTATAATTTTATCACAGCTTTCACAAAAAATTTCAAGTTGTAAACAAAATCCCATTTTTTCACAATGTTATCATGCAAAGTAATTTTATTTCCACATTCAGGACAAAAAATATACTTACTAAATATTCTTTTTAATATAGAAAAGTTCATAATAAAGTTATAATTGCTCTTGTAATCTCCATTGTTACACTCAATATTTTGAGTTGTTTTCGTTTTCGAAAATAACTTTTTTGCACTTGAACAACTTGCAATTGGCGATGAAGGTAAACTATTTTTTTGTTTATCATTGCATGTGTACTGATTTTCTTTAAACTTGTATTTACGTTTTCTAATTGTACTGCGAGTCATTTTTTTGTTTAAAAGTTGCAAACAAATTTGAAGTAAAAGTGGCTTTTAGTAGAAGCTTTCAAATATAGTTTAAGTTGTGATTCTAATTTGTAATGTTCAAGCTGTGGAGTTTATCCTAAAGTTGTTTTGAGCACTGGTACAAACATTAAGCAAACAAGAGTCTTTTAAGACTGAAGTTTCCTCCAAAAAGGTGACTAGAAAGTTAAAAAACCAATAATCAAACCCGTTGCTATGGCGGTAACTAGGGAAGCCTGAAAAACTATGGTCAACTAAAACATAAATATTAAAAAAACTAAATTGAATTATAAGAAACTGTTTTCATATTAATAATCTCCGTTAAATTTTGAATAAAAATCAAGTAAAAAAAAAAATTTGAATTTTTTTTGATTTTTAAGGGGATCTGCTACCTTAAATACTTTGTTTCTAAATATTCAAGTTTATAGGTTTTCAGTTTAAGCTATTTTTACTTCAAGGTTTTTAGGCCCCTGCTCAAAAAGAATTAAAAATTGTATTTTTTTTTAATTTTTTTTTATCCTTTTTTTGAAAATGTTTAGGTATTCAAAAAGTACAAAAGGGCTCTAGACTTAATAATCTTTTTTTTTTTTTTTAGCGCACTAGAAACAATCTGAATTGTGACTCAACAAAGTCTTTGATTAGACGAGTCAATGAGCTATTCCTTACCTAAGATAAACATTGTTTGTCTCTATAAATACAATTGAAACAAACTTTTCTTAATGAAGTCTTTCTCATTTTGTAACAAATCTCATTTATAACAAAACGCTTATGTTTAATATTTTCTATATTAGTTTTTATAAATTTAAGTTTTATTTTAACCTAAACAAGATATATAAGTGTAGCCTTTCTGCTAGTAATAAATAACTTTTTTTCATAATATCATTTAAAATTCACAAATCATTTAAAAATAAGACATCCACTTTAGACAATTTTTTGTTATAAATCCCTTTAGCTTGTGTATTTCATTTTTAATCATTTATCTTGTTAAAAATTGATAGTAGTCGCCCATAATTAATATG